GTCGTTTTCTCACGTGGAAAGATACGGCAACTTCATTCCATGATCTGGTTCTTGTGTGCTTTGTGTTTTTCTGGAGGGGGGACTGGTGGGTTTCGGGCGGGGGGGGCAATTGTATCATCGGTCGGCGGTTGATCAAGCCATCCATGCGTTGTGGTCATATCGAGAAACCGAGTCACCCCTCGGTCGAGCAGAGAGAGGATGATGGTGGTTTGTTTGCAGCGCGTGGAAAAACGCTCCCAAGGCGGAACTGATCTGATTACGGCTGTGTGTTTTTTGTGTTCAGGTTGTGTTTGGGGGGGCGGGCACATTTTGTGATCCTCTATAGCGCCAGGTCGTCTCCTTCAGTCAGCAAGAGCCGTAACTTCAAGTTGTCACACCAAAATTTCTGTTGCACATACACACACATGATGCCTGGCCCCCCCACGTCCCGTGTGGCCACCCCGTTACAGCAAGTACCCTGGTAAGCTCTCCTCCTCTGAGTGTACAGCTCGCCGGCAGAGCGTCTACATACAGCATGAACGGATGGTTGCGAGCAGCATGTTTATGTATGGTTGGGAAAAACCCTTTTTGCTCCTCCCAAGTATCGGCTGGTGCTGCTGATCAACGAGGGGTGTCACCAGGATTCCACCCAAAATGATCGAGCCACCTCTCCTACCCTGCCTCCGCCATCACGTTCGTTCGTGCACATCACGGCGAAGGGGGGTGCATTATTTTTTTGCTTTATATAGGTGGTGTGGATCTGCTTCTCCGAGGGTTGATCTTTCGCTGTGCTAGCGGGATATTTCATTGGGGATTTTTGGGCCGGCCCACCCTCCAATTCTCCACTGAGAACATGTGCTGACCCGTAAGCCCTACGCGGTACGGGCGAAAACGTCGTGCTTTTGCTAGCGCTAACCGTAGGCACCGCTGCGTCGGTTTTCGTGCACGGAGATTCCATTTGGCCCTGGCCTCCCGACAAACTGCCCCAGCAGCGAAGCAATCACCCGGCTAATGCAGCAGTACCCTGCTGCCGTAAGGCATCCAGATCCCTGCTGCCGCGTGCACCTCTCAACAGTCTGGTTGACTTGCGGCGCGCCAGTTCCGCGCTGTGGCGTGCATCTTGCGTTGAAGGAGAACAACCAACAACGTTGCGGAACGACATATTTTTCAGTGGCTATGCATACGTGCCTGCTATATCATGCTGCCAAGATATAGCTGAACTATTCTCATATTAGGCACACCTCGTCCAAGCAGAGTCCTTTGAGGGCACTTTCAAGCAACGCCGCGCGTGTTTCGACATTCTCGCATGTTTGGCTCCAGAAAAGAGCCAGCCGTCCACAACCAGTTCTTGTACACGGTGCGCCTCTCGCATGAACAAAATAAATATCACATTCCAAGGGTGCTCCGTGAATCAGCGAGGTACTTTGCCGTCCCTGAACGGACGCGTCCACGGTGCACCCTCGAGTGAGCCGCAGCACAGCAGCGAACAATTTTGGTCGTTCTCTCGCAAGGAACACCAGAAAAGAAACATAAAAAAGAATCTCACTTGCCAAAACAAGAGATTGGCCAAAGCTAACGGGTAGGGCCACCCATGCCAAGGTCTTCCAGACCAACGCCGAAACAAGCACTACTAGACCACGCGTGCGTGCATCGTACCTATATGGTTGTACTTGCGCGCCGCGGAGGGAAAACAACTTCCATGTACAATCATTCGCGCGTGCACAGATCGTACAGAAATATGAGAGAGACAGAGCAGAACCCGACGAAATTTTCGAGAACTTTCCGAGAACAATCTCTCCACCCCCTAGACGACCGGCCCTCCTCAACACCCCATCCTTCGCTGGGGGGGAGGGGGGGGAAGACCGATGTACGCCTACAGCAAGCAGCAGCACCGACAAACAAAATCAAACCACCGAGGCCAGAAAAGAAAAACTTGCAGTGAAACTGCAGTGAAACTGCGACGTCGGTGGGCAACGGGTGAACGCCAAGAAGGGATCACCTTCGCTTGAGGTCCTACCTTGGGCATGGATAGGCCGAGAGTGCGAATGCTACACGTGGCATGCTCTCGACATCAGAAAAAAACGGGGGAGGGGTAGTGAGCAAGAATTACGACGCCGCTGCTGTCGAGGAGGTGTCGATGGGATCGTTCTTGAGCTGGATGAGAATGGACGTCATCCGGCTTGTGTCCTTGAAGTCTTCCACGACTTCGGACTGCGTGTCCACGAGGCTTACCACCCGTTCCCACGGGTTCTCGCTCTCGAGTTCCCCCTCCAGCTGCTCCAGGAAAATCTGCGTCAAGGCCAACAACAACAATATTGAGGACCGGCACGTGTGAACATAAAGTGTTGGCTTCGCATTTGATGCTGACGAGGGGGAGCGGTGGACCAAGTCCAACAACACAACACCAACAATGACGAATGGCACGTGTAAAACAAAAGCGATGGCTTCGCATTTTCTGGTTCAAGAGAGGGAGCAGTTGACCAAGTCCAACAACACAACAACAACAATGAGGAATGGCATGTGTAAACAAAAGCGATGGCTTCGCATTTCATTGTTGATGAGAGGGAGCAGTGGAAAAAGTCAATAACTTGGGGGGGGGGAATCATGTCGCCCACTTCGGGTCCATTGTATTCTAGCATATTTTTGCAGGGTAAGTTAGCCTGTGACCACGGAAATCGACCGCGTCAAGTGTTAGATTAGTATGGACAGATCAAGGTACTGGATAGACAGATCGGAACGGTTGTTAATGTGAAGACAGCAACAAAAACAGAGGTAAGTCGTGATGGCGATGCAAGACTGTGCCCTTATGCGTTGTTCCCGTTGAAGAAACGCGTGAGTAGGGAACAGATTTCAGTCACGGCTGCTGCTCTCGCTTGCTCCTTCTCCCTGCTCTGCCCAGAACCCACAGCAACTGCCTACTGCAACGTGTTGTCGCTCGAGTTGCATTCTTTCTCGCTCTAGCCCAATTTCCCTCAAGCCAGACCGGAGTGAGCGATAAATGTAGATAGGACAAAAATAGAAACGAGGACGGAGAGAGAGAGAGAGGGAGAGACAAACAGACAGACAGACAGACAGGCAGGCAGACAAGACAGACAGAAGAGAGACACAGAGAGGAGGAGAGAGAAAGAGAGGGAGGGAGAGAGACAGGGACAGAGACAAACAGAAGGACACAGACAGAAAGACAGAGAGAGACACAGACACACAGAGCACAGACACACAGCACACAGACAGACATACAGACAGACAAGACAGACAAGACACTCGTTGGCGTCACACGCGTTTGCCACCGCCGCCGACTCACCTGCTCCTGCTCCCTGTTCTGACCCATCTTGGCCTCCTTGTTGGCGGCTCTCTCCACCGAGTGGGTCTCGAGGTCCGCCTTCGCCGCCTCCAGCGCAGCCGCCTTGGCCTCGGCCTCTATCCTCGCCTTCTCCACGAGGCCGGCCTGCCACCTCTCCATGAACTCACTTGAGACGACGGCGGCGGCGGTGTATCGCGAGACGAACAGGGTGCGGCGCAATTGAGTACCGCGTGTTTTCGAGGGGTAAAGTTGAGACACCCAAGCGGCGTACACTGCCTGCTTGAAACAGGTGTGTGGCATAGAGCAAACACACAACGCAGGCGCTGTGGACTTTCCAGGATAAGGAGGGCGGGCAGATACCAGCAACCAACGCAAGTCGTGCTCCAGCTACAACTAAATTGGCCACTTCTACACATCCACAGTTTCAACAATATGTCGTCCGAAAAAACAAACCGGCGAACTCACTCCAGGGCGCTGGGCTCCACATCCTCGGGCGCCGGCATGCCCATGTCCGGCATCTCCCCCATCCCGCCGTTGCCGCCGCTGCCGCCTGATGGGTCATCTAGGGTCGCGTAGCCCTGTGTGTGACATCGCACGAGACACAAATCAGCGTCAACGGGGGTATGCATCGGACAATGCAACAAAGCGGGCTGCCTGCTTGACTGCCGCCTGTCTCAATTCAGACTCCACTTTTCCCGTCAAACCTGTCGGCCACAGAAGGCAAAAGCGATGTCGGGAGGCCGACAACGTGGCCGGGGTGATCAACACGAAGAGGCTAGCCGGCGGCCGTGTTGCGCCGGCGCAGCGGTAACCGCTGCCCAACGGAAGGTGCTTCGGATGATCCATGGACCGGGGAAAACCTGCAAGTCTCAAAACACACTCAAGGCCATCGCAAGATCCTCTATACCACCACCAATCAAAGTAGCAGGCAGCCCACACAACACGATGATGCGTGAAGGATCTCGGAGTGAACAGAAGCCTACAACCTGACTTACCTACGACTCGCAACACCCTCATTGTGCGTGGTCAGCGTTAAGGCCACGGGGTGGGGTGGGTAGAAACGGCGAACGTCGGGAAAACATGGGGACGAAGAAGAAAATAGTATGCCTTCGCATCGGTACCGCTTGTCGTTAATATGGCACGCCCAGAGAAGGTTATACTACCATACCTCAGTAGTAAACACCTGACAACACACACGCTGGCGATACTCTAGCGCAGAAACGACACCGCCAGCGCGCGAAAGAATCAAACAGTTGCTGTGCTCACCATGTTGTCCTGCTGGAAGCCCATCCCGTTGTCGAAGCCGGTACCGTTCGCCTGCGCCACCTCCCCGTTGGGCTGCTGGTCGAAGCCGCCCCCGTTGAAGTCTCCCCCGCCGTAGTCGCCGCCGGTCGCGCCGTACTCGCCGCTTCCCAGGTCATTGTAACCCCCCTGTTGCTGCTGGTTAATCAATTAGGAGAAACCGGCCGGGGGCGCGACCCAGACGACGAAAAACGGCAGTGTCACCCGCACTGCGTGTATTTCGGCATACTGTTAAGAAGGTTTACTACTACAGCAGTAGTGGGCGCTCAACAACGCCGGCTGAATAACGCCGGTGACCCTGTTGAGCCTAGCGCCGGTGCAATTGCTGGGCACACATTGGATCGCCAAGACATTCGATATTTTTGAATAGCGCCGGATGATTCGCCGGGCACATAACCGGACCGGCGTCATTGAGGGCCGGCTACTGCGTGCTACGCGGAGCGCACCCGAACGGTTGTGTAATGTGAAGAACAACAGCACAACATCATCATCGGCCATCGAACACAGCATGGCGTCGCTAATCTGCTCATGCTACCCAATGGTATCAGCGTCGTCATTTAGCTATTGTTTCCTTCTCTGCGACCCTCTCACCGACACGGGCGGCAGGCGCCTATTGTACTGCGGTACGCTCAAGGCTTGCATGAAATAATTACACACCATAACAGTAGGAGAAGTGGTAATAGAGAAGGCACTGAGCGGAGACCGAAACGGTTTCTTCATGTCAAGACAACAACAACAGCAACAACTACCACCAGAACAACCGGGCGGGGCTTCGAAGCAAGCCGGTTGGGTATAATCACCCCTACAAACCGCTACACCGGCCCCAGTGCTGTGTTGCCACTTACTTAGTAATGCCGATGTGGGTGCTACACTGCTGTAAATTGCTCTCGGGTAGACGAGCCCCTCGTCGCAAAAAAGTACTCTCACACAGGCGACAAACGCGACCACACTCTTCTTTATCTCATCATCACACACGGCTACTTCGGCGTTTGTTACCCTCAAGGGACAACGAGAGGACTTATCCTTTGAAGCAGCGGTGTTTAGACTCAACGACATCCATAGTTTGTGCCGCATGCCGCACACCAAATCACAGCGTGTGGGGAGAACGAAGAACGCGGAGGAACGAAAGGTACACAAAGCTAAAGTTCTTTCCCCGCATTTACACACCCCGCCTCTAGGCTGCGCTCTTCGCGATCGCATTCCTAGAACCCAGAACAAACACAGAAGTTGCTAGCTTTAGACCTTGCAACAACAGCAGCGAAACCCCCAAGCACAGGGTCGAAGCCTCACAAGAAGCATTCCACTACTGCTGCTAACTACTGCTGTATATACCTCACACACATCGTTTTTTCCAGCAGACAGCGACAGCAACACAACCCTCAGAGTTGGCGTACCTCCGGAGCGTCCTCTGCTCCTGTGAAGAAGTCATCGCCCCCGTCCATTTTAGGCAACACGCACGAATCCCTCCGACTACAGCTCCTCCTCCTCCTCGGGGGCGTGAAGAGGTCGCGTGCCTATGACGGGTGGAGTGATGGTGGGGCTGGGGTGTGAGCAGCAGCGCGCGTTGCGTTGGCACTGGTAGGGGGGCTCCCCAGACATTCTCTTAGAACTCTCTCCGCATTCGCCGGAACCCCCCGCGAACGCTCAAGACGCTGCTCTGTGCTGTGCTGACCGTGTTTTCTCTTCCTTTCCGTCTCTCTGCCTGGGAGAAAGCAAAGGTGGTTGGCGCGCCCCGCCAACGCCACGAGGTAAGGCGTGCTCTCTGGCTTCGTCGTTGTTTCACCGTATTGTGCCCGTTGCCTCTGTGTGCCCCGACTGCACTTTCGGATAAAAAAATAGACGTACATACAACAATATCGGCGGTGTTTGCGTGTGTTCCCTGCGGCTTGTTCGCGTCGACCGCTGTCTGTCTCTCTTGGCGACCCCGGCGACCCCGACACCCAACAAAGTGCACACGTGAGAGCTAGCACCACCATAGAGAACTCTGTAAGAGTGACGAATGCTTGATTAGCTCGCTGCTGCTTTCGACTGGAAAGAAAGACTTGGCAGCAGGCCGAACACAAGTCAAAAGCCACACCAACTCAACAGAACAAAAAAATAAAAATAAAAATAAACACTTCCTCCAGTACGTCCTGCGTGCAGTATGCAAGTCTACAACACCACATCTCGATAATTGCGCTTTGATTGCGGACCGAGTTTGATTGCGTACCGAGTACCGAGGGATAACTAACACACTGGGGCCAGGCTAATCGACTGCCAACCATCCGACATCCCACGCTTGCATGAGGTATACAGTAGACTAGTAGGTATCTTTTTTCTTGCGATGACTGCTTGTCTAGTACCCGTAAGGGTTCGATGATGATCGCTGTCTCGGACGACCGGGGATGGATGTGTTTTCTTCCGACAACAGGCGAAGGGAAGGGGGTGCCAGTACGACGCCGACGGCGGTGGGGGCGGCGGGATGGTTCAAAAATGGGCTATCGGCGCGATGATCAACATCTCGGGGTCCATCGCCATCAACCTGGGCACCAACCTCATGAAGCTATCACACAAGGTGGCGTGATCGCTTGCTTTGCTGCCCCGGCGGGAAACCCTCGCATATGATATTTCGACAAAGACAATGATTTCCTGGTCCCGCCTTCTATTGGTCTACGATCCCCCCGTTGTGCAGAAACAGGGCCATGCTTGTAGAGATTCTTAGTACCCAGCCGGTTTTCCTCCACTCACTGAAAGACTCCACCACATCCCGTTCGACTGTGGGTATATCTCGAAAGGGTAGTCTTCCTGTGTGTGTATTTACTTTTCCAAATAAATGTAAGAGTCTCATGTTTGCGGTCGGCAATTACCAAGAATTCATCATGCCTGGTAACAGGTGACACTCGGGTCTGATGACATTAGCATGCTTCCAGTCGCACCCTTACCCTCGACACAAACCGCGGTTGGTTGCTGTTGTGCGTGCATATGTAGGCGTTTGTGTCTGCCGAAACATGAGCACCCCCTCTGAAGCGTACATTCCGTTCGGCACCACGGCAAGTCAGCAGTAGCGAAGGTACTCGTGTGTTCGCGTGTTCGCCCTCCTCCTATCTGAGAGCATATTTGCCACGGCCGCCGCTGCTTCTGCTTCTGCTGCTGTTGGTGCTGCTGCGACACTACCAGATGAAGAAGGGGGAGTATCGACAACACGGCGACGACAACACCAGCAACAACGCCATTCGATCGGGCCTGAAGCCCTCAGACGACGACGACCTAGAAGCCGCCGAGCCCATGATCAACCGCGCGGCCAACGACTCCCCTCGCCGCCAGCAGCAGCAGCAGCAGCACTTTTTCCACTCGTCCTCGAGGAGCGCACAGCGGGCGCAGCACGGCGTGGAGATGACCGCCTATCCCATAGACGCGCTGGTACAAGAACGCGGTGGACCTGGCCGAGTCCCGGATTCCGAGTCCATCACAAATGGTGGCGCGAGAGCAGGCGGTGGTATTGGTAAGCTGCGAGGGGGTGGTGCTGGCGGTAGCGGCAGAGGTTTACGCGGGGGCGGGGAGGCACGAGGAGGAGCGGACGAGGAGGAGATGGTAGGACTGACGGAGGAATCGCTTACGGAGTCCCCGTCTTCCACGACCGGGGTGAGCACGAGTTCCGACGACCGGGCCGCCCAGCATTCCAGGGGGCGGAAGGCACTGGCCTCCCCCTCCTCCTCCTCCTCCTCCTCCCATACCGCGAAGAGACCGCCACCAAAGGGCGGCCACGCCAAGGGGACGGGGCCGCCGAAACGGGCCGGGGAGTACGACGAGCACCCGGGCGTGAGAAAGCGGCCCCTGAACATCAGCCCCAACCAAGGCGGCGGCGGTGGCGAGGAAGGGTTTGCCGAGAAAGGGGGCCTGGAGGCCAGCGGCAGCAGCAGCAGCGGCGGCCACGGCCACGGCGGCGGTGCTTGGGAGCAGCCGCCGACGACGCCGCCCGAGTGGATGGCGACGGCGCTGTGGTACCTGGGAGCGGTGCTCCTGGTCGCGGGGAGCCTGGTCAACTTCGCGTCGTTCGGGTTCGCGCCGCAGAGCCTGCTGGCCAGCCTGGGCTCGGTGCAGTTCATCTCTAACGTGGTGTTCGGAAAGGTGATCCTGCGGGAGATGGTCACGAGGAGGATCATATTGGGCACGGCCACCATCATCCTGGGCAACACCCTCACGCTCTGCTTCAGCCCTCACCAGGTGCCCGTGGATTGTGTGGTGTGGGGTGTGGTGCAAAGCGGATCGGGTACGACTGATTGCCTCGGGCGTTTGTACGTCGGTCTCAGCTCTCTCCTTGTAGCTGGCTTACGGGCTCTCCCAAGGGTTAGGTTTGGCGATATAACGTACAGCAGGAGAAGGTGTCTTGCGCGCGTGTGTGTGTGTGTGCATGTGCATGTTTTCCCCTCGCTCGTCGTCGCCTTTTGCCGTCGCAACAGCGCCATCGCCAGGGGGGGGGGGTAGTGCTGCGTCTTCGACTGCTGTGGTCGTTCGGCGTGTTTCGGACTCGGTCCCCTCGCTGTGCTCCTGATAACACGCAGGGTGACGAACGCTCTATTATATTGGTGGTACCAGGGCCATCACCGTCACGTTCGTCTGAATTGGGGGTGTTTAGTCCGTATATCGTTTTCTGGCCTCCTCCCCCCCCCCGCATTGTCCTTCCTTATGAGGACGCGTGGTTAGGGCTGGTCCTTACCGGAATTGTGCACCCAGATTTGACACACCCAGACCAAGAGTTTGAGCGGAAAGAAAGATTCACAGAGCTCTGGGAGTAGAATTGTTGCTGGTCTAAACCGCTTTCTTTGTATGTAGCAAGAGCAGACCTGGAGTTTCAGGTGAGTGGTCGGCATAACAACGGACAGACTGTGGTTGAGGTGTTGAGGTGCTGGTTTGCAGTGTTTGAAGATGAGGGACGGGGCTACGACCAGCGGGCCCCTTGAGAAGTGCGCGGGCCGGAAACACCCTTATGGCAATAATCTCGGTGGGAGGGGTGCAAAGCCACAGAAACCAGGGGCATATACTGCGGTTTACATCGTTGCGGCACTGGTGGCGGCTTGGAGCTGCTGCCATTTGTCGCGCTGCTGTTGGTCAGCAAGGAGGGCATCATCTTCCGCTCACGGGTTGATTGTGGGGCATGTGTGGTGTGCCCAGTGTAAAGACCTTCCCTCGTGATGTGTTGCAACGTCGCATGAGAGTGACATCAGTCGTGAACTCTTTTACATCTTAACTCCAATAGACCGAGTTTTGGTTGCTTTTGGGGAACTCTGGGTTGCGGTTCGATTAACTTTGGTTTCAATTAAAAGATTGCTCACTTCTTTGAAATGACAGTCCTCTTCTTCTGACCCAGAGTTGTATAGCTTGCTGGAACTCAAGCTTAAAAAAAAAAAATTCTTGCCATCATTTCACCGAATCAAACGGGACTTCTGTGGATCTATCTTCCTGTTCTATATCTTGGTCTGGCTAAGACTAGCCCTTAATGGTCTAACAGCTAAGGCATGCTAATGATGAGTATGCCCGCGCCCCTGATGGTCTAAATACTACGGCGTGTGTTTACATGATGAGCACACGCACATCGTCCCCCCACAAGTAGGAATGAACAATTGGCCATCCGTGATCGGTCCTGTGGGAACAATGCTCCGTCCTCTCGAGGACGCGAGGTCAATGGTCTTAACCGCTAAGTCAGGCAAACACGTAAGAGTACGCCCCGCCCCCCCACATGCCAGGACGACAACTTCAGCACCCACGAGCTCAAGGCCTTCTACGACGCCGAGTACAACACCCTCCTGCTCCTGGAGCTGGCCATAGCGCTCGCGATGCACGCGGCCTACAAGAGCTTCAAGCGCAGCAAGGAGCAGGGTAGGCCGAGGCGCCACTCCGACCTGGTGATGCCCCTCGCCTACGCCATCTGCTCGGCCATCGTGGGCACGCAGAGCGTCGTGAACGCGAAGTGCTTGAGCGAGCTGCTGACGCTGACTTTTCAGGGGGAGAATCAGCTGGTGAGTGAATGCAACCCGATTGTTGTTGTGGTGTTTGCTGTTGTTCTGTTGTTGTTGTTACCGTTGCTGCTGCTTTGTTTGTGTGTCTGTGTTTTTTTTTTGTTGGCGTCGTCTTGACAGCAAGAACGTCTCCAACGCTACCCGTTCTTCAAAGGCAGCGGAACACAGAACACAGGTTGGTTCCCTTCATCGTAGGCTTATCCAACACGAGGCACCAGGTACACACGTACACTACAGCAAACTCTTCCTTCCTCCCGCTCTCTCTGTGGAGGCTAGGACGTTTTAAACGTTCCCGCCACGTTGGCTTGATCACCCCCACCTGGATACACGCATCAAATTGGCGGTTTTGAAGAGCGTAATCGTACCGCCGCTAGAGTACGCCGGAGAAGTATGGGAAGGAAATAAGAAGGTAGTGAAAGAACTCGAGGCGGCACAGATGAAAGCAGCGAAAATCATCCTAGGATGCTCCAAGCGCACAAGTAATGCAGCCGTAAGGGCAGAATTGGGGATCCAATCCCTACGGTCGGGAAGAGACGCAAGGAAGCTGACATGGCAGTATCGCATGTGCGGGATGGGAGAGGAGAGGTTGCCGAGAATAGTATGGGAGGCGAAGTGGGCAAACAAAAAGAGGGGTAGACAACCCACGGAATGGGTCAAGGTTATAGAGGATGTATGGAAGGGGTTAGACATCGACGAAGATGAAGCGCTGGAAACGGAGGGTCTAAACGGGTTCATGGAGAAGATATCTGTTGCTTGTGCCGAGAGAGAAGAACAGAATCTAAGGAAAGAAACCAAGGATAAGGAGGGTCTAGAAGTGTACGGAATGTTGAAAGAAGGAATAGGGTTCAAGGATTACCTACATGGACCAATGGATGCAGGGACAAAGCTTAAGGTAAAATTCAGGACCGGGGACATAGGCCTTCGAGAACGTCGACGAAGACATAGGACGGTAGACGACGAAGACGACAAGTTCAAATGTGATTGCGGCTTCGAATGCGAAGACCGTGTTCATGTAGTCGCGGAATGTCCGTGGTACGAAGAGGAGAGGGAAGTGTACATGACTTAGCTGGGAAAAATACAAGGGTCGTACAGGGAGATGTTTGAGGCGTGGAATAGAGAGGAGAGGACGGTAGCTGTACTGGGGAGTAGGAAGTGGTTTGAAAAGGCGGGAAGGGATATCGTTAGATTAGACAGACTAGGGAAGACATTTTTGAGCCACCTTTGGCAAAGTAGGAAGGAACGATTGGCCATCAGTGATCGGTCCTGTGGGAACAATGCTCCGTCCTCTCGAGGACGCGTGGTCAATGGTCTAACCGCTAAGGCATGCAAAACATAAGATTACGCCCCCCCCCCCCCCCTCCCTTTCCCGGCGTTTGTTGACGGTTCTCCTATATGCACGAACGGACGCACTCGCTACCCCGTTGCAATGTATCAAGGGCTCGATTTTCACGTACCTGGTTTTCGCTATCTGGCTCGGCACGACGATATTCTGGCTGGTGAGGATGAACCAAGCCCTGGCGATGTTCCACGGGCTCTTCATCATTCCTGCCCTACAGGTGACTTGAGAGAGACTCCTGCAGCTACGCAAAGAGCACGGCAGTAGAGAGCCTACGCGTTTTTTGAGAAGAGAGGTCTGCCAACAGATCAATGTAGAGGCAGCTGTTGTTTTTGAGTACACTGCCGAGCGGAATGTGCACTGGTTTGGTGTCTACATACCACAGCAGCGTCACCGTCCGTGTGCGCTAAGATTTGCGATGCTGTGGACAGGCTTCTGTTGGTTGTGTAACTGTCGAGTATTCTGCGGGCCAAAGCTGGTACTAATGTCAACATCAGGGTGGGAAAAACATCCTTGAATGGTGCCATGGATAGGTAGTTGTGCCTGGGTCGTTGCAACGTTGGTAGGCTGCCTAATGCACACACACACACACCCCTCTCCGTCTTGGTGCGAAGATGCGGTGGTTAATGGTGGCGACGTACACGGTGCGAAAGTGATGGCTGAGCATTGTGTTTAGCCCACACCGCTGTCGGACGCTCTTGCACGGGGTTGCTCGTTCCTCCCGCCTTCGATGTCAGTACCATCACGTACCACAAACACTCTGCTGTGGCGATACAGCTGGTACTTCTATAATAATTTGCTACTGTAGGGGTTGCCTGCGAGGCCGTGCATGTCACGCCAGTGTCACCGCGGCGAGAGCTTGTCGCTGTAATACCGTCCGTGATCGACCGGATGACATGACGAAACGAGCTGGATGACACCGACAGAAGCTGCTGCTGCTGCTGCCACTGCCACTGCTTCTGCTGCTGCTGCTGCTGCTGCCACTGCTGCTGCTGCTGTTGCCACTTTTCTGACTCTCTTTGGGGCGCCGCGCGTTGCTGCTTGATCTGTGTTTCGGACCGCCCTTGGCGTGGTTTTGTCCGTCGGTTCGTCGTCCGTCAGGTGTTCTGGACGTTCTTCTCGGTGATCGACGGCGGTTTCTACTTCGAGGAGTTCCACACGCTGCATGTTTTGGGGGGCTTGGGTTTCGCCGTTGGGGTGTTAGTGGTGAGGACCGAAACCGCTACAACGTACTGCTGATTTATTCTTCTCTTGTCTCACTGAGTTGGTGTGCTGTGTCACACACAGCACCGCAGCAGAAAGGTGTGGTAGCGAGTTCTTCGCCGGTCGCCGATGCTTGGTTTTGTTTGCCCGTGGCGTTTGTGCCTCCACCGCCCCTTTTGTGGCCGAAGTTTTCGACGTGCGCTAGTTTTACTCCCCTTTTCTGCTGCTGCCGCTGCTGCTGCTGCTGCTGCTGCTGCTTTCGCCACCGGTGTTGCTGCTGCTGTCGCCACTACCGCTACTTGGTCCTATGCGGCCCGTCTGTCCCTCCGGCAGGTGTTTTGTGGCGTGTACCTCCTGGCCCCGCGGACGCAGACGGACCACGGGAGGCATGCAGGGGTTGGGGACGGGGGAGAGGCGGCTGTTGATTCGGACGGGGAAGAATCAGACCTAAGGAAGATGCTCAGGCTGGAAGGTGTGTGTGTGCGCGGAGCGTGACGTGTCACGGGGGGGGGGGGGGGGGG